GTCTCTTCAAAGAATAAGTAAATAGGATAAAACTCTGATATTTTAAACATGTCAGACCTGAGCTCCTTTTTTCAGTTGTAACTGAACATAGCAGTGGTTTTTAAGCAGAACGCAATATTTTGACCTGTCAAAATGAAACATTTCATTTAATGGAAGCTGAACCAGAGATTAAAGACAATCTAGTTAAGTTAGTATTTTTTATTTACATCATCAATTTTTATAAAACCATCCACAGGAACAGAAATTTATCTGTCAACAATGAAAATAGCTCATACTTCCATCAAAGAATTAATTCATGCATTGAAAGCTACATGGACTATCATAGCTAAAATCTGCTCTCATTTATCGTGGTTTACATTTTTTTGCATTAAATAATCTGCCTGTTGTACTGCAGAATGACTCAAGGGTCTGGCACCACTCCCTCCCAGCCCCACATGATATGGGATGAACATGCACATTTTTGCCCTGGGGCTGGACATATATCTCTTGCCTCACTGGATACAAGCTTAACTTTCTCCTTGCAGTACTGAGACGTCTCCACAATCGAGAAGGTTTTGGGAAGGAGGCAATTTGTGAGCCCTTTTTTTGGCCACTACCACCATTAACCTGTTAATGACTTCGTACATCCAGCAGTTACATCACTTCAGCAGCTAAGCATATGATAAAAATGTGCTTGGACTCAGTAAATATTATGCCAAGGTATCATGTCCACACACACACAAATAGCTCACAGTAAGACAAATCAGCACTAAGATAATTTTATAGATCAATGGAATCATTCTTAACTTGCACAAGGTATTTGTGTTTTCAAATTCTCCCTTTTCCCAGAACAACAACATGACCTAGCTTCCACTTGTTTTTTCACTACAAAGGTTTTTTTCATCTCAAAGAGAAGACAAAGCTTGCATTGCAGGCACTGCAAAGGCCCACACTGATTTCAGGCATGTGGGTGACTGAAGTTTAAACCTGGTCTTTATGCTCAGGATGCCAGAGTCATAGTTTATCCTGTAGTGATTTATACACACTGGCATTATAGTACCTCACATAAAGCCAACATAAATGAGTCAAGGAAAAGGGTGTTATAGAAAAGTGAGGACCAAAACTAGTCTCCATCACACACTGTGTATACGGGTTCATCTTAGGCTGCGTATGCTGCAGGGAAGGGAGGAGGCAGAAGATACACTTTTGCAGCAGGTACCTGCCCTGGCAGGCTCAGTGTGAGTCTCCTGATGGCTTCTAAAAAGCACATCAACTACAGGAATAGCAGAACTGGTCTCAAGGTACCACCAATAGCATCAGGTCTGACATGTTGATTGCTTGTCCACTTTTTTCTCATTAGAGGAAAATTAAATACTGGATATAATTTAACACTGGTCACTGTGTTTCTGTGGCTGTAAACAGGATATGGGAACATAAGTGGCTTGGAAAGATGCCATCCCTTTCTCTGCAGATAGAAGTCCATCAGCAATATCAGTGCTGATGGAAAATATTTTTTTCCTGGGTTGATACTGGAATTTAAAACGTGATTTGTAAATGTGGTTGAAATTTGTTACACTGAGGGTTTACCAGGGAGGTTTTGGCAGGAGCCTATAATTGAATCATCTTAATGTTAAATAACTTCTGAGATACTGGAAAGCTTCATGGCTTATTCAGTAAGGTATTGAGTCCTAGAGACTCTCATCTGATGCCTCCAGCAGGGCAAGAGAAAGGTGTGAAGTGGCAGGTCTGAAGTACAAGAGCAGGATGCTCAGCAGTAGTATGTGAAGCAGACCACATCACATTGCTACCTCAGATTTCTATCCTCTGAATACCACCATTGTCTGAAATATTGAATTGGATTGAAAATAGCCTGGGAGTTCTTAGGATAGAGGGAAGAAGGAGGTCTGACCAGACAGATAGCTCATTTCAGAAGATACATTTCTTTAGGATCACTAAAAATGTTGCTCTAATTTTAATGGCATATGACAAATATATATGTAAATATAGCTATACAATTTCATAAATTCTTGATGGATTTTTAAATGTATAGCGAAAGATCCTATGGAAATTGTATTTATATAAATTGTATTCTAATTGTATTCTATTATGAGAAGTATTATTAAAAATGAATAATTATTGTATATGTTTGTATAACATAAGTTAAACTTATATTCATAATATATGGATGCACCCTATAGATGTATGTGTATATTTTACAGAAAGAGAAAGAAAAAACTTGCTAATATTTTCTACCTAAAAATGTTTAAAAAAAAAAACAACCACAAAACCCCAAATTTAATTCCAAGTGTAATACTGGAGAAAATTTGGTGCTTCTGAGCTCTCTTCACCAGTCTGGAGCAAATGTAGACGTCCATTTCTTTGCGGAGATGATACGGTGTGTAAAAAAAGCTCTCAAGAACTTTTTAACCAGACAAGCTATTCGTGAGCAGCTATCCAACAAGCCAAAGAACTCAGACATTTGCCAGTATGTGAAAGAAATTTGCCAAATAGCAACTCGTTGCTGGCTGGTTGAGAGCACTGTTTCTATTGCCTAGCTGGATTAGTGTGCAAGAATTCCTTGTGAAATACGTAAGAACACATCTCTGTTAATTACATTAGAATGGAAAAGGAATAGTCTCCAAACAGTGTACACTTATTTTTAAAAGACTGTACCTTAGTAGCATTTATTAAATCTCTGCCTTCTCATCTAAATTCTAGCAACTTTTCATTAGTGTTCCTATTTATTTATTTACTTTTACAGAAGCAAGGATACAAAGTTAGGCTTTGGGATCCAAAGCTTTGTTTTATATACAGTTACTAAATGCAACTGAATCCAAGGAAAAATATACTAGAAAGTAGAAGTCGCCAACTGGTAGGAGGGTTTTTTTTTTGCTTGGATAGTTTTTATTCAACTATAGTTTTCTTCTCATGAAGAAATCAAACATGCTTGCTTGAGCAATGCCATCTGCAGGTTTTCTAAAGACAATGATTTTGTTCCTTCAGATCTCCTTACTTCAAAGACTTAAGTCCATCCTACACACTACGTTTTTAGTTTGCTCTCATTGATTTAAACAGGGCTACCTACCAGTCAAAGAGGAAAGCAGTGGGGTTGCTGTGAAAAGACCCTGTTCACCATCCTTTGCCAACAGATGAATTAGGCAGACACTGTGCCATACAAATGCATATTGAGCAGCAAGATGTCTGGCTGCCTCTTAATGTCCCATTGCTGGCATAAAAATCCTGTCAAAACCAGCCTTTTATGCATGATACTCAAAAAAGAGGAGAAAAAGCCCTGTCCCCTTCAGTCTCTGGGGACAGCAATCCCCAAACTTCTTCAGTACTAGGAATTGTAAATGGGGACTCCACTTGAAGGGTGCTGATGACAGATAGATTTTGTGCCCCTTCCTTCCAGGTAAGCCTGTACAAGGAAGTCAGTGAATGTAACCTTGCAGTTCATCTCTTTCCACAGTTTAGCTTCATGAATAAAGGATGTTTTATTCTTTTTACCCAAAGGATGATTTCATACTCTAAATCTTGTCTGTTTTTTCAGCTATTTTAGTTAGTCTAATAAAAGACAATACCTCTCTCTATACACCTGGCCTTGGTTATAACCTCAGACCGTCATAGTTACAGTACTACTTATAAAATATAATGCATCTAAAAAAATGACATGTCCATTTTTTCTTCTAATTTTCTTATCGAGTTGAAGTGAAATGTCGACAGTTTTATAATCCATGAATACCATGAGCAAAAGCAGGAGGTTGAAATGCTGGTGGTCTGATCTCTAATTGGTTTAAAAGGCAATAGACTGTTTCTTTTAAGACACCGCAGTCACTTTCTTTTCCTAACTCATAGCACTAATCTCTTATAGCACTGATAGTCTGCCTCCTTGCAGAGGTCCTTATAAGGTTTTGTAGCTCAAAACCAGGTTTCTCTTCGTATCTATTTGTTCTGGAAGAATCTTTTTCATTCTGTCATGTGAAGCCAAAAGATAAAGTCAATTAATCTTCTTAGTACTCTCAGCCACTACATCTGTGAGCTGGGAGAACCAAGGATTAACTTTATTATACATTATTAACTGCATTAACATTGTAGTGTTAGAAGAAGCAAAGGGTACAATCCTTGTGGGTAACGGAAGGACTACTGGAAGGCCAGAGAAGGCCAAGCTGTTTATCCATTTTCAGTTGTTTTGTAGGTCCCGAGACAGGCAAGTTTGTATCTGAAATGAAATGCAGTACGCAGGATAAATATAAACCAAATATGAGATCAGAATATGTGGGTGGGAACAACTCTTTCTGCTACCAAAGCTAGTTCTGGGAGAACATTATGCTAAAAGTCCACATATAAGATGTTTAGAATAAGGGCTGCTTTATCCAGCATTTGCCTTGAAGGCAAAGTGGTTCTGGTCCATGGTGGAAGTAATAGGAATTTCATGGGGGTTTAGAATGTTTCTTTGAGGAACAGGTCTTCATGAAAGCTGGAAGAATAGAGATGTTTGAAGGCACTGAAATAAGGTCAGTAGAGGAACTAATCTCTGAAACCATCTCTGTTTTGTGCGCAGCTAGTGTAAATCAAGACTACAAGGATAAATGAGGTATCTCTGGGTCAGGGTAGGTTTATGCTGTAGTTGAAGCAGTGACAGATAACCTACAGGTAGAATTAAAAAAAAAAAATAAAAAATCTGCAGATCTTGTTTGTCTTGGTTTGGGAACTTCATGAATGAACACAAAATCTCACCTAACGCTAGCCCTGCCTCCAGAGGTTCCTTCCCAACTAAATCATTCTCTGATGCTAAATATCCTTCTTGCAAACTTGCAGTGTCTTTTGCCATACTGGTGAGTTTTAAAAATTTCCAAGTTACAAACATTCTACATCATGGGGAATTGTTTTTGTTCAGCAGCTTATAGAATGTAACCTAGGAACTAGCTTCATCAAATCCTATTTTGATATTTTATTCTGCATGGTCCCTTATTGCAGAGTGGGATTTTCAAGTTTTGCAACCAAACTGATTTGTCCCTGCAGTTTCTCACCTTCTCTTTTCTCTTGTTCCTTTTACTGCATATTGTATACACATACACAGAATGAGTACCACTTACAATTCTTCATTACTAAGGTTATCTACACATAGAAAGCTATCCACCAGTTATGCTTTCTTTATAGAAACACAATTATAGTCTTTAGAAAGGTAATGCTAAGCCTCATTTCTTTCTTTCAGGATTTGGAAGGACATATAAATCATCACAATGGGAGTAGTAAAGACCATATTAAGCTAGTATCAACCCGATGTAAGTATTTCTTTGACAGAGCCATCAGCCCTCAAACCATTACGCTCACTGCTTATGGTCTAGTATTGCCAAGGTATTTAGGCTAAAATATATGGAAAGTTATAGAAATGCCTTTCTCCTGATACTGTGATATCTTCAGGCTTTTATGTGGGAGGGTGGTCTCATGGTTACAGCATGGGGCAAGAAGACAGAGAGCTTGCTTTATTCCCCAGCCCTCACCCAGGTTTTCTGCAGGACTTCAAATAAGTCGTTGGAGGTGGCTGGAGCTGGATCGACAGTAGAGAGTGTTGGCCAGAGTTCAGTATGCACAAACTCTGCAAGGGTAAGAAATGAGGGAGCCAAAATTTTCTCTGCCTTGGGCATCTACTCTCCTTTCCTCAAAGTAATGGCATGCACTTTACTGTTTCTAAAGATAACATTTAACTAACTCATAATATATCACTATAGTAAAGGAATGTTTTCTAGATTACACTTTCTATGTGTAATCTAGATGTGACTTTCTACTTCTGTATATAACTGCATGTGCCTTTTCCTTGTCTCCCCACATTCCCACTTCTCTTTCTTCTTTTCAAGTTATCCAGGAAGCTCTCAAGAATCTTTAGACCTACCACTCTAAAATGCATTACACTGTCTGGCATCAGAAATATAAATGCCAGATCCCATCAAATTAACTTTTCACCACCGATGGAATTATCTGCATTGTTATCAGAGATTTACATACTTATTGCTGTGGCTGTCATAAATATATACATGGTGGGGTTTTTTTCCTCAGTGCTTTTATAAACCTCCAAATGAGTTGAGTCCTTTGCTGAAAGATTTAATTGTTGGTGTATGTTTTCCATGGGAACGATGAAAGCCAGTTAGAATTAGTGTTGAGTGAACTAGAGCAATCCAGGATTATGATGAATGGGAGTAGTGAATGATCAGTAATGGATGTAAGCAAAACATCACTGTGTTTGAAGCACCCATAATTAGAGGGACATGATACTTTAACTGAACATTGCCATGTCAAACATGGGACAAAAAAGTTTTTAAGTCTGAAGCCTTTAAGTACTGAAAGCTTTTGAGTAAGAAATTAGTTAATCACGAAATGGTGTGTGGTTCTTACTCAGCAAGGTAACTCACCCATTGCATAGCTTTAGCAGAACAGGTCTCATTTGCATCCGGGCTGAATTTGGCAAAAAAGAACTACAACACTGGGAAATGTTCCTTCAGAGCTTGAAATGACCCTGGTCACACAAAGTCCTGCCATCCCATTGCAAAGTTTTGGTCTCAGCAGTAATCAAGTGACCCTTTTCTCCTACAGCTTCTCATCTCTCTTAGGCGCCTCTCAGAAATTCCTCAGAAAACTTCACCCTGTGCTCAGGTTGATGCCTGGAAGTAACTTATTTCTCCCCATGAATCTGAATCAATAGCTCAGGGTTTTATTATTTCTTTGCCCAGAAAGATACGGCTCACAGACTATGGGGTGGTTATGTCAGATATGTCAGGCGGCAGCTGGAAAACTTACCTCTAAGGGTAGTACTTACAGAGCTGATGATCGTACTTCAAAGGATGTGACCCATATACAGGAAATCATGGAGATAAAGAAAACCTGTTTTTCTATTAAAACTCATTTCTAGTGAAATCTAAGAGTTTCTGAGGCCTAACTCAAACCTGATTGTGGGTGAGAGTAAGTTATAATAGAACATCACTTCTGGAGGAGAAACCAAGCAGGTCAAAGTAATTTGGTTTAATTAGAGGAGACAGAAAGTGGACAGAATATTGATTTTTGAAAGCAGGACATCAGGAGCGCAGATCTTTACCTCCATTACAAAGCAGTATGTATAATCAGAGTACTGATGGCATACAGTGAACCTTAGGTTCACCTCAGTCCTCATTTCCTGAGGTTCTTTTGACACCACTGAAGTGCATTAAAGACAATCTTATGTGGTTTTTCAAGAGAGAAGGGATATTACAAAATGCAGCAAGAGTGGAGAAAAATAAATGATCATCAGTAATGTCCTTTTAACACTGTGTGTGTAGAGGGGGAGTGTGAGTGTGTGCACACATGTAAGTAATCTGGATTTAAACTGATTTTTAGATTAAATGCTGTCAGATGCATAAAACGAACAGAAAAAAATGCTTCTGTTCTGCGCTGCATACATTTGGATGAGCTTGTCTGGTGACAACAATAAGTAAAGGAAAATATTAGAAGAGGAATTCATATTTGTGCTGCTCCTTTAGGAGAAATATCTAGTAACTGGTTGTGGTTTTTCATATAGGCTTTGTTACATGTCTTTGCCTCTCTAAAGGAAAATAGATCAGGGCCAGCACACTGTATATATTAGCAGGTTAAAGTACTGGGCTATACTTGCATGCTTTATTGTAAATGTTTTTGGTACTTCTTCTAAGTCTGTGTTTACCTTGGGTATTTTCTTAGTTCACACATGTGAAATAACAGCTGGGACTTGCCAAAATATAGCAGTCAAGTGCTGTACATGTAGTAGCTTTAAAACTAACACAGGTGTCCTAGATCCCTTACCAGAATAAACAGAAGCACACGATCAAGAGTGTGTCTAACTCCCCTCTTCTGGAAATGATGTGTCTTGAAATGCTTGATCTGACAGTTGCTTTGGTCTCTCAAGAAAGATGCATCACATGGGTAAAATGCTGTTGATTTTTACAAACAAGTACACCATTTTTTAATTTAAATTAAATGATAAATGTAGTATCATAACATGAATCTACTAATTTCCACCATGTTCCTTTTTCAGAGAAAAAGCAAGTACATTTATAATGAGCTCAGTTCACTCCTGGGTCAACACCAGGAGCGGAAGGACAAGACCTCCATCACTGGAAAGACCACCCAGAGAGGAGGAAGCTATGCTTATTCAGGAGGGAGGTAAGGCAAGAAGGTCCCAATCATTTTCCTCCAGAGCCCAAGCCATGACTACCAGCAGCCTCTCCATCAGAAGCCCAGGGGCCCTAGCCATGCAGAAGGGGCCTGTTTCTTTTCAGTGTAAGTAGACCTCATTTCCTCTGTGTCGGCAAGGCTGTCTATGAACAAGAAAATACAGTTGCAACAAGCCACTCAGGGCTTTTATGGTGGCTTTTTTCACTTGTTGAGTTTTTGTTTCTATGATTTTACTGCTGTTTCTGTATCTGAAAGCGAAATAAAATAGGACATAGTACAGCAGTGGCAGCTACTATACACGGAGGAGGAGTTTGACAAGCATTGTTGTAGCCAACTGGGATTGAGTAAACATTCAAGAATCCCACTGATAATGCACAGGAGGAATGGGAATTCAGAACAAAATTCAGAAAATGTTGTTCTTAGAGCAGTTTTGGCTCCACAAAGATGACATACATAAAACTGACATGCCTGTGGGGACACCTGTGCCATCTTGTTACCTCTGTAACTGAGTGGAAGTAGATAAACAAGCCCAGGCACATACAAGAAAGAAGAGCAGCTGGTTGCTTCTACCGAAGTGGTATTGCTTTACAAGGATAGCATTCAGGGTAGCATCCAAAGTATTATAAGTGAAGACACTCACTTGACATGTTCACTCAACAGGAAGTTGCATTTCGCATATTAATATCATTGAGTTTCACTTTCTCATGAAAGTGTAAGATTCATATTGTCTGCAAGGATAGGAATTTAGCCGTCAGAAAATAACTGTCAATTCCCTGGAATCAATGTACTCAGTTTAAGAATTTGTGACACTGGACAGAAGTTGCCAGTACTAAAGTAAACTTCAGGTGTTGCCCATAGCTGCACCAGTTCCCTATGCTGGGAAGGCTGTCTGCTTTTTTCAGCTGTGTCAGTTGATTTGATGAAAGATACTGCTTCTTCTCAGAGCTTACCTTGCTGTTTCTGTAGATATCGCAGCTCAGTAATCTCATTGAGTGTTTCGTCCTGACCCTTCCACAAAGGTTAAAGTGTCTTGGATTGAGATCTAGATTCCTGAATACTTTTCTTGTAGAAAATGTAGTACATTCACTTTTCCACGTTGTGCCTGGCCAGGACAGGATTAGCATGGCATTAATCAATTGCAGGAGGATCAAGGAAGTGGATTAGAGTTGGTTTACAACCAAGAAAGTTGGTGATCCTGAAGGTAAACTCCCCCACCTGGGGGCATGAGATGAAGAAAGCAAGATTTAATGAACTGCTTTGAGAAAAGGGTAAAGCCAGTCTATGTCCTGGTTCCCCAGTATATTCCAGTTATCCCTTGGGATAACTATATTTTAATACAATGCCAGCTTTCTTTTTAATATGATCCTTGAAATTTCTTTAAGGCCACCTAAAACGTCACAGCTTTTTCCTTCATCAATCAAAACATTTTTTTTTTAACTGCAGGATGTTTGTTCAGTAGAGCTCGCTGTTTTTCTTTCATTGATTTTCTTTTTAACACACGGTTGTTGAAAACTGAATTTTGAGTTTAGTCAGCTTTGTTCAAGATGCATTGCTGTTCCAAGTAGAATTTGTGGTATGTTTTCTGCAGTCCAGTGTAAGGGACTTATAGCATGATGGATGATGTTTGGAATTAAAAGCTGAATGAATGCAGGCATTACCAAAGCTGCTCTCTTGATCTGAAAAGAGAAATCTCTTTCTTTGTTACTTCTTGATAAGGAATTTACAGCACAATGTTGGAAAAAATTCCCTCTGGAAAAAAAAAAAATAAGAAAAGAAAAAAAAAGATACTTTAGATTTAGCAGTAATAGCAGTAATGTGCAGTTTGTGGGCTTTGTCTTTTGTATAAAAACCTTGTGAACGTAAAAGTGTTTTGAAAGTGTTGGAGGGGGACTGTTCCTATTTTGACTTTATGGTCACTTATTAATCTTTCTATCTAAAACTGGCATTTCTTCCCATGGAAAATATTGCTCTTACCTATATTAGTTTTGCCCACCGAATGTTAGTAGCAAGCACTGGTTATTGCTACTTTTTTATTCCTGCCTAAGAAAGCCATACAGCCCTCTAATGCCTGACACATTAATTTGCTGTCTTAGCAAATTGCATATACTGGCTCAAAGGCACAGTGCTAAGTTTTCAGCAAGTCAAGAATGTGCTATTAAAATCAGGTAATCATCTTGTGAAACTCAGCAATTTGGGGATTTTCTCATACACTCATATGGGGAAAAAAATGTCCAGCTTCTCCTACATCAGGGTCCAGGGAAGTATGCTCTGTAGACAAAAGGACTGCGTGTTGTGGCAAAAAATTATTTTAGGTGATATGGCATACAAGACTTTGGTGGGAATACTGTGTCACTAATTCATCCTCTCTGTCTAATTTGGCTGCTGAGTTCTTTTTCCTCTGGGGATAATTCAGAGCAGGGACCGCAGCTGATTGCCAGGGTGTTCCCCTTAGGAGTGTTGGAGAAGCACATACTCTCCATGACTATACAGTGTCATACATTTGAGAACCGTTGCCTGTATTTGTACTGTTGGAAAATAAGCCGTAACTGCCTTAAACACCATGCCAGTCTGGGTGGGCTTTGAGAAACAAGGAACTGTGGGGCACAGCCTGCTTCTCATATCTGCTGTGGAGAGTGAGTACAACAAATTGCAAAATAGATCTGCATTGCCTCCATACTGTTAGTAACTGGCATGCTTTGGAGAAGATATAATCGATGTTCTTTAACCACTGATTTTTGATCTGTATTGCTAGATTGCTAAGAAAGCAAGCATGGTGTCAGCAAGGCCAATGTCACAGTATCAGGTCTGTGCATTCAAAGACATGTCAGACTGGCCAGGACCGAAACCCACCAACCAGAAGGGATACAACTCTCTGACTGCGGGATGGTGACACATGGGAATCTATAGACACCGTTTATATTCTCTGTGTTCCCTCTCAGTTCTGTGGGTGTATTTGGCCATGAAAAGCATTGTAATGTTTGAGAATAGAAGATATTAATGTAGCAGTATCTTTCAACACCTCATCAATTTGGATGCTTAGTGCAGTTCTCTGCCCAGTGGCTAAATTAGTATGGCATGAAACTAGCATGAAAACTGCAAATCCCTGCTGCAAACAATCAAGCAAATGATCTCTTCCACAAGCAAATTCTTGTTGTAACTTGTACAGGCTAAATTCTCAGCTAGTGTGAAGCTGCATAGCCCCCTGTTCCAGATTTGGCTTTACACCAGCTGAGAATCTGGCCTCAATAGCTTTATGCTTCCTGCCCTAATAGTACCATGTGGTAAAGAAGTGGTAATAGCATAGGCAAAACATCAGGCCATAACGTCTCAGAGGTCTTAGAGTGGAAAACAGCTTTCCAAGAAGTTCAAAGGCTGGAGAAATCAAAGCACGCTGATCCAGCACCATAATCTCAAAAACACAGTGACAAATAGGAGAGGTAACTAATACCTTCATTCTGAACAGCTAAGCACAGGCAGATTTGGCCGCTTTACCTGCAGAGTAAGTTGTCTGCCAACATGATTATCTTGCTGGTAACAGAAATCTCCCAGGGAACAAGCTGTGCCTGAACCACCACTCAAATCATGACAGGTTCCCCCACACACCTCTCCCCTCACATCCACACTCTTCTCCCACTGTCTTTACTGGTGCTAGTTGCCCCTGAGGGGCAGAATTACATGAACTCTCCATCTCATGTGAGGGAGTGTTGAGAGGAGCTAGGAGCTTCCCAGGGGATGGCACTACTGGCTTGCTAGAGCAGCTGTTGTCACTGTCACTGATTTCAGGAGGGTCCACTGCAGCTCTCCAAGAAACATTTCTAACCCTTGTGGCTGCAGAGAAAAACCTTAAAACCTGAATTCCTGACAGCTCAAAAAAGCAAAGGATAAATGAAAGCAAAGATGCTTCGGCTTTACTTTCTTGCTTTCCTTCCAGCTGTGACTGAACCCAGGGCTGCTGCTCTCTGAACAAGAGGCAGCTGCTGGGGCCAGCAAGCTGAGCTGGGGTGAGCTGGGCCTCTCCTTCCTCTCCCCTTCCCTCTGTGTGTTCTATACCTGGAGGCTGAGAAGCCTTTGGGCAAGACCACAGCTGCAGCCTGTTGAAGCAGAGGGTGAGAGGAGGTTAGCGCAGAGCTGAGCACACTGGTGTGATGGGGACCGCACAAATGTGACTGTGGGCTCTTGGCCGGATGTCGTCAGACACGAGAATGTGCTGCTTCCCAGAGGTTCTTTATCCCCTGGATAAGTAAGCCCAATGCCCACTTTCGGAAAAGGCTTTCAGATGTACCCCAAAAAGGAAAAAGGAAGTTTTGAAAGGTGGGATCTGAGGAGAGGAAGTGACTCATGGGCTCAAAGAGAGATGGGCAGGGAGCGACAGCCGGCTGAGGCAGCACAAGCGATCCCCAACTGTGCTGAGTCGTGGGAATGGGGGTGAGGAAGGAGCCTAAGGCAGGGGAAGCAGAGCTTCAAGAACAGCGACAGTCCTACGCTTGCCTCCTGGGCTTAGGACTTTTAGTGCATTCCCCTATAGCAGGCTCCCAGGCATACAAGCATGCCTGGCTGTGCTACACATGTGGTTTGGAGGTGACTCCAGCTTCCCTCCCAGCCAGCAGAGCCCAGTAGGCCCAATTGGGTGCTGGCTGCCACACCAGTGTAGTACCCCTGGCATGGCAGCCCTGCCTTCCCCAGATGTATGGGTCCACCATTGCTCCAGCCCATGGCTGCTGCCCTTCCTTTGCCTGCCACACTGCTCCAGCCTTCCTAGGATGGTCTGAGGGGGACAAAGAGTGACTGCAGTTTGGGTGAAGAACAAGAGATTTTTGCCTTCATTTTACATTTGCAAAAAGCTGTCTTTCATCAATTTAAAGCAGTAAGAGCAGACTTGGGTTGGGTTTCATGGGGTTTCATGAGCGATGTGACATCAGAATCATGTTTGGGACTTTCGCACTGGCTCCTGGCAGAGCTTCTTTGTCTGCATGGACTTTTCTCGCCCAATGGGATGCCCATTTTTACCTGATTGAGGCATGAGCTCTTTTCCTACACCCTCTTCTGCACCTTCTAATCAGTGTAATCTCTGCTAAAACAAGTTTTCTCTCCTAATGAGGAAGCTCTAAAGATCAGGACTTTGTGAAAACTAAATGAGGAATTTCCTGGCTTTTAAACAATTTCCCCCATAAATTATGATGTTCTAATAATATATTTTTTTTAATTAACTGATGTCTGCTTGATCCCTCATGTGTAGAGTACTCAAATAATAATCTCACTGCAATTCTGTACTGTGGCTTCTAGAGAGGAAGTGAAGCCAGATAACAAGATGTTACCTTTTGTTCCTTTTATTTATTATGTAAGTATCTTTAATGGGTTGTCCTATGGACCAAGTAAGGTAGATCAGATGAAAGTGCTCATTTTGAATGTTGAATTAGATCCTTTTTTGTTGAGCTCAGTAGTGTTACAGGACTCTTTCACTACTGTAGTCGAGATGTGCACTGCAGGAATATTCCCAATCCAAGTTTTACTGGCTTTTGCTTTGTGGTATTGACTAGTCTATTTGTAATGTGTGTGTAAACAAAACTGCATATTAGTTAAGCACTTCAGGCATTGTTTAAAGCATCTTCTTCCCAGAGGTTCACAGAGCTAGAACTGGGATGGAACTATTTCCTCCATTGCTGAGGTCATAGCAGTGGAATTAAAACAAATGGTAAGTTTGCTATAAAAGCTGAAAACAAGGCTCTACAATTACAACTGCAAAAGCTGTAGGTAATTAAGTTTTGCGTGCACCTCCGGAACCAAAGTGTCACAAAGACACACAGCTTCCTGCAGACAGCTTTATCCAGTTATTAGTAGAAGCTTGGTTTGAAAAATGTTGCAATTAAAACCTGTGATTATTCATCAAGAGAAAGATGTATACAGGATCATAGAATCACAGAATGCTTTGGGTTGGAAGGGCCTTAAAAATCATATGATTCTACCCCCACCTGCCATGGGCAGGGATGCCTATCACTAGACCAAGTTGCTCAAAGATGTCTTCTGTGCCCAGGAAAAGTGTGTCATAGAGCCTTTCCTGAGCGTTAATAAAGGTTAATATTCAGTTCTTGGCTACAGCGAATGGAGCTCATCTAATCTTCATTAATTTTACTTGGTTGCTTAAAGAAACAGTGCTCTCATGTGTCAGGTCCTGCTTTCGGATCTTACCTTTTATCCAACTTCTGAATCTTAGGCTTTTCTGCACTTCAGGTTTTTACTTTTTCCCATATCTATAAAACTAAGACATGCATCCTGAAGATATATGGCAAGGGCTTGGAACTAGATAATCTTTAAGTCCTTTCCAACCCTAACTATTCTATGATTCTATGATATTGACCTGGCAAGGGCAAACAAATTATATGCCACATGCTGTATTGTCATGCCAAACTTCCCAGGCTTTTCTTAGGATCTACTTTTGGTTTAGTGAGATCCTATTGAACTCCTGGAAGAACCTTCATATCAGGTTATTATAGCAAGGAATCATGACTTGTTATTTTTAGCCTTCTCTGGTAAAAGTGCCTAATCACCTGGTCTAGTAAGTCCATTTGGGTCTTCTGCACAGTTCCTTACTTATTTTGTATTCTAATCAAGATAACAGATCAATCAGTGATGAGCTCATTGATAGCCAAATCGACAGCAAGTCATACAGTATGTCAGTTCATATTTTGAAGTACTTCTTCATGATAATCACTGCAGTCACTAACATTTAAGGTGTAGACACTGATACGACCACCTAGTGCTTCATGACACCATGCTCCTCACTCTTTCATCCAAAGAACTAGCTTTTCCCAGGGGTTACCTTAGCCATCAGCACTTACAAGGGGGTAGACCCTACAATCATATGAAGTAGCCCAAGACCAGTTTGTAAATAACATCACTCATGTTTTCACTTACCTGATGGTTACACAGTTGCAGCAGCAGAGCTCAAACATATGTTCCTAAATGACTATGTATTGTGTGGTATTTGGCTGCCTACATTATTTTATCCTCACCTCTAACATGTGTCTTTTGGCATACTAGAACTGTTGTAAGTTGTGTTAATAATTATCAAGACCAAATTTAAAAGGCTCTTCTAATATACTCCTATGTCTATCAAGTGTCACCGTCCAAAACTTTTACATCTATGTGGATCTTGGTGAATCAGCAGTTAGCGTATTTCTTTGAAACCCAAAGACAGCTTAATTCTTACTCCATTTTTTCACTGCCAACCCCAACATGCCTTTATTTATATTTATGAGAGGTTATTGGCTCCCTCTGGTGGTTTTTGAAAACCAGAAAACTAGCAGAGAACATAAATCAAACTAGTTCTGTGCATAAGAAGTTGCTGATCGTTTGCAGAAGGCTGCGTGTGTAATTCCTCCTCTGTCTGTCACCACACTTGTTTTTAAGCTCAGCTAGTTTTATTTATCGAGGCATTATACTGTGGTGATGTATCTTGAGAGACGAAAAATGCATATTGATATATTAGAGAGAAATGAGAGAGAGAACTCTGCTGAGAAGCTCTGCTTTCAGTTCTGGTTTCACCAGCAAAACCTACATTTCTCTGTTAGTTCTTCACTTCTTTCTTCTACTAGTTCTTCACCTCCTGCATTGGATTTGAAATGGCTCTGCAGCTATTTACTGTCAAAAAATGCTGTTAATTTATTTTTTCTTGGTAGCTACTGTGAAAACTAATGATAATAAATTGTAAGTCAGACCCCACTCATTTACTCAATGTAGCATTTATACTTGGAGACAAAAAAATTGACATCCACAGTGAGTTTCTCTTTCTTCCCAGGCTCAAATACAAAGATATGCCGTTTACTGGTGAAAAGAGAACTTGTATAGGAATGTTCCACATTAATTCACAGCTAATTACAAACATACAGAACATGCAAGGTGAAAACTGCTTCTAATCATGTTCTGCTTCTGTGGAAGCTGGCACCTGCTTGCAGGAGATCTGGCCACAGGCTAGAATTTCAGCGCAAGTGTGCACGTGGGAGCTGAAGCCCGAACTCTGCAGCTGGGATGCTCAAATGGCAGTTGTGCATCTGCTGCGTGACTGCTGCGGGAGTGTTTGGGCATTCAGGTGACTACTGGAGCCCAGGAATATCTCTTGGACAGTCCCCTTACCCTTTACTACAGTTGCTCCCCAGGTTTTTTTCCCAGAGCAGTTGTGTGATGGTGTGGAGAGGAAAAAAGAAACGACCTTTAATCTGCAGAAGTCCAGAGGCATTGTGGTTAAACTTCCTATAAATTTTCCTCCCTTCCAAAGCAAAAAAGCTTTTTTTTCACTGTTTGACATAAACAGTAGTTGTAGGGAAATAAAGAAAGGAAGAAGAGTTAGAACTGAGAGTTTTACCTGTGCAGAGGTTTGTGGTTATGTTCAAAATGCCTCAGAATTACTGTAATTTTTTGATTAAGTTGATCCTTCTGTCTCATTTGATTAAAATTCAGGAAACAAATCAGTTGCATTAAAATAACATGACATCCACCTTTTTTATTTTGATTGTATTAAGCAGATATTATTGGATAATTTGGTCACTGGGCATAGGAAATTGCCATTTAATTTAATATTAGAGTCAAATTGGGAGTTAGAAGAAGGCTCCAAATCAGCCTCTGTCATGTAATAAGGGATGAGCAAATTCCTGGCACCATGACAAAAACGGCAATGCTCCCATTTTGCTCCATGGAACCATGTTTTTGACCTAAATGACTTAACTAAAAGTCTTATTATTCGACTCTACTCATATCATTATATTTCTAGAATCTGTAGGTAGTTCCCATCAGGTGGCCTCCTGGTTCTGAGGGTGTTACAGGTGTTATCTGCATATTACAATTAGGAAACATGTGACTCCTTTCTTTCTTTTTTTTTTTTTCTTTCTTTTTCTTTAATTTTTTTTTTAATAACAATAACTCCCCCCCCCCCAAAAAAAAAAAAATAAAAATTGTTCAATGTTCAGCTTCTGTCATGAGTTCCAGCAAAGGGCTCAGTCCTACAAGGTGCTGAACACTCTGGCTTCCATCCAGCAAGGCACTTAGGCATGTCCTTAATCTTAAACACAGGTCTAATCCCCAGGACCTCACCAAATAGAAGCTAAGAGCTCAGTACCCTCCAGATGCAACCCCCAAACCTCCTCTCCATTGGTCTTCCATAGTTTTGTTATAGTAATATGGTAAGAATTAAGCCAATGGCATTTAAAGTATTGTTTTAAAAATACTGCACAAAGATAATACATGCTATATCATAGTGTAGATCAGTTTTCAAACCAGGAAAATGAAGTTTTCTGCAAGCTTCAGCTCCTTTGTTTTTTCATACAATAGGGAGCACTCTTGTAGCATCTTACGTGGTTTTGATTATAGTATTTGTGATTCTTTAAATATTTATTCTCATCAGTTAAGAAACTTGGTGAAGGGGAACTTTATAAACATTTATCATGGATCAAGTGTTCACGTGGAAAGGAAATGAGTCTCTCTCTTCCTATAGAGAAAAGTACCTTTTCATAAAAGCTGTGGCCTCAATTCAGCAGAACATCTTGATTCAGGACAATGATTGAGCATATACCCAGCCTTACATACGTGTCCAATTTATGTAAAAGTTGCTCAGACTCCCCAAAACACATAAATGCTGCCCTGAATTGGTGCCTATCTCACTCAGCTGCCCACGAATCACTTCAGCAACATTAGATGTGCCATTCCATGTTCACAGCATGGAGCTCTCCAGAAGGCAGATGAGTAAACTCTTCCTTCACCACCTGAAAGATTTGTTTGCTTTGTGGTGACTGGCAGTGGTGTCATGTGAAATACCACTGGGAAAATTCCATTTGATTAAATAATTATCACATATGACCAAAAAATGAACCATTATCTGTGAAAACAAATTAAAGCTCCCCAAATTCCTTCCACTTCCTTCCTTGGTCTGTTAATTGCCTTTCATAGGCAAGTGACACAATTACTGACTTCAAACTAAACAGGTTCCAGTGAAGGTATGGTACTTGGAACTTCAAATATTCTGCGCTGATTAAACTTTTTACACAGCTTATTTAAAACAGCTTCCCTGAGAAGAGGTGAAAAGTGCATCATTTGAACCCAGGCAGTTTTCAGGATATTGAGTCCCACATAACTTTTACTAGGGAGAGGCTGGAATTGAAAGGAGATTGTGTCTGCCTCCTAATGCAAATAATTAGGGTCTCTTTTTGTAACCCAATTTTTCCAAGCTCTATCTGGGCAGAATTCCCAGTTACTTTACTGCAATTATTGCTGTTTAAAAGACTTGCAGAATGGCTTCCAGTTCTCTGAATAGTGAATGACAATGAAAATGGTGTGTACATCATAAACAAATATGATCAACTAGGTATAGGCAGAGCTGTGATTTAAATGGGTGCCTCGGGTCAGGCCAGCACAGCCAGGCACCTCTAGCTGCTTGCTGTGACATAGGATCATGCCCACACTAGTAGTGTGTTAAAACATTAACACTGCCTGTTGATATTAAGATGGATACACAGAGAAACCTTGGCCCTACAGAGGCTGGTGGAAGACCCATCATCTCTTCCCCACTTCCACTTGTGACTGCTTCTCTGCCAGCCACCCTCTATAAAGACAGCAAAGCTCATTGGTCTGGCTGGTGGAATGAGAGTCTCCCGTGGTGCTGCAGTGCCACCCTCACCTGACAGTCACAACATCAGTGGGATAGAATAAAATAGGACATTTGTAGGGAAAGATTAGCTGGATTCTGTAGCTGGACTGGTTTTTCTCTTTAAGTGTCTTTCCTCTTGCATTTTGTTCTTAATCCTTTAGGCTCTTTCGGGATGAAGGTCTGGCACAGCATATTCTGTCATCAGTGGGAGCCCTTCCTGTGACTTGCAGAAAAGAGATGCAGTGTCTTCTTTTGTGCTTTTTAGGGTTTTTTATTTTCTGAAGTGCTTTGTTCAGCTCAGTCTTCAGATAACTATCAAATACCACTTTGTCTATACAAGCTGTGCTAAAAGTGTTTCATTCCTGATGCTGTGCACGTCTGCTTGAACAGGCATTACTTCTGGATTTTGGGCAAATTTACTCTGAAAGCGGCATCACTACACTTTGGTCAGTAGCCGTTGTTGGTCTTACTTCAGACAAGCCTGACCTGTTGAAATGTAATGCTTCTCATACTAGTTTCCCAAACTAGTGAGGCTGTTGCTATTTCAGGTGGCTTAAAAATATGTGCACAGTTTGTACTTTGAATGTTTAATAAGCTTAAAACATAAAATATATAATGCAGCTTGAACTTTCTGGTGTTATTTCATCACCAAAAAAGCAAAGTCTTGAGGCTCAGCAATTGCCTTTGTCAGAATGTAAATTCCAGCATGTAATACCCAGGCTGCATGTTTCAGGAAATCAGTATTAACCTATTAGCATGCAGTTTTCCTTGGAGAAGAGCCATCTTCACACTGAGCCTGTATTCCTGCTTCAAACCTTCCTGTCACTGTTCCGTATCCACGACCCAGCCTAAGGCTGCCTTTGACGGTTCTCCAGCCATTTCCTGCATACTGCACTAGCACTAATTGAAAATTTGGGTGGCCTTGCTTATTTATTTTCCTGGAATGTAGTGGGTTATATTTTCATGGCACTTTCTCAGCAGTGCAACGTTTCAATTTCAAAACCGCTGCAATATGAGGAAAAGTACCCCCCAAAATTAAAAAAATAACAATAAAAACCCAGCATACCTTTGATTAATTTTTACAGTAGTTCTTTTGTAAAAATATATAATGGAAAAAGAATTCAGTGTTGCTTTTGCCTCTCGAGATCAGAGGCAAGAGCAGCAATTTAAATACATGTACAAGATGATCACATGCAGACACAATGAGGCATGAAACTTTAAATGTACAGATGCCATGGAAATGAAAAGATAATATAACATGTATTCTTTGCAAGTCTTGCAGAGTTCAATAGCTACATAACGTGTGTGGAGGGAAGAGAGAAGCAGCCCCCCTGCACTCTCTAGGAAAATTCCAGCTATGTCTGGATGTGCCATTGGCACTAGCACTGTACTTTGCCTCCCTGGATTTCTGCAGGAATGTAATTCCACAGCAGCCAGGGTTACTGTGTCAATGTTACCTCTGTGTTTGAAGGTGCCTGTTCTGGCTATCAGTGTCTGCATTAGATTTCAAGTTTCAACCAAGTATTTTCCCAAAGCCCTCCCCAAAATTTCAAACCCGCATGTTTTTGTTCTTTTGTTTTTAATTCTTGTCCAGTTGTTTTGTTTTGTTGCAGTTTTTTTGTGTGCGTGCAAAAAATAAAGGTTGGTGCAACCAAGCCAACAAATATTACCCGGTTATTTTTTTTTTTCCCAGTACACTAAGTGCAACTATTGAAGTCTTTTGTGAATCATGCTTTGCTTGCCTGGAATGCAGGCGTAAGGAAATTCTTAACAATAAATATGCCACTAAGATGCCAATTTGTATCTCAGAAATTATTTGGAGGAAGTGTGAACTGAAAATAGAGTCTGCTTTTACCTACAGGCACACACCTTAAGGTTTATCGAACTATTTGAATTTATAGATGGTTCAGAATGGAAACAAAACTGGAGGCCAAGAGGAAAAGAAATTTTTTAAAAAGAAAATTGCTCCTATTTCTGAGTGTTCAGGGTGCCATTTTGTTTGATTTGTTGGTTTGGTTTTTTTTTTTCCTATAACTCTGAAATTTGGAGGCTTTTTAGTCAAGCACAAAATATTTTCTTGCAAATGAGTAAAATAACAAAATAAGAGGTTGGGAATTTTCTTGTCTGGTTTGGTTTGTTGTGGAGTTTTATTGTTGTGGGGTTTTTAACAGAGACAGTCTCAATTCAAAGCATCAGCACTAGCATTCCCCCATTCCCATTTTCTTCTCTGAGAAGTCTAGATTTATCCACTGGGGAAATTCAGATTTGGAGTGGACTTCTCCAGCTTGTTCCAAATCCTATTTTCTAAACTCACTATGCATTTCCCAGAAAGAAGGTTGATTTTGGCAGTTAAGAAGTGCCCCAAGCTAAAGGTAGTGTAGCAGTCGATTGAAGTGTTTCTTGCACATGCATGTTGTGCCTCATTACAATTAACAGTGAATTCTGGTTCACCTGAATTTTACAAATTCCCTGAAGAGCAGCACAAGTGATTAAATGAATGCTTCCCTTTATGGCTAGTTAATTTTGACTTGTAAATGTGAGCAGTAATAAGTTAGGAAAAATGGGTCAAAATGGAAAAAGATAGTGCTTCCCTGGCCCTATCTCTCCCCACTGAGGGTTTTCTGCCCTTTGTCGAGGATGCAGCCACACCATCAGCTAGGAATTTGGCACAGCTGAGGCACA